CTCCTGCGCCGCAGGGGAGGGCTCCGAGCCCGCGCCCGCCTGCGGCGGCGGCCCGCGCAGCGCCCAGGCCTGTCTGGGCAGCGGCAGCCCGGGCGGCTGCAGCCGAGGCAGCTGCAGCCCAGGTCCTCGGAGGCTTGGGAGTGGTTGGGCGAGCCTTCGTGTGAGTTGGCGGCCAGTCCGGGGGGGGGGGACGCGAGAGGGGGCGGACCTTCTCAGAAGGCTCGGAAGTCCTCTGGCCTTCCGAGAAGTGTTCCAAGCCTTCCCCGAAGACACACCTGCAGCACAGGTCCTTCAAGACGAAGCCAGGGCGAGGATCCGCCGGCCCCCTTGTGGGGCCACCAGGCTGTGGGCCCGTGATTCGCAGTTTCCTGTACCAGTTGTAGTTTCTAGTTTCCAGTGTTACAGTTCTGCTTCTTGCTGATTACTGTAACTAGTTGATTGACCGCGCGAGGGGGGGGAGGCCCAAACAGGATTTTCCAGCGTCCCCTGGGCGCGTTGTCTGAATTGCTGGGGGGGCTCGAAATCGACACCCCTCACGCAGATGCGCGGGGTCAGGGTCCAAAAACACAGGAGATTTGCCACATTTCTGAAATTCGGTGCCACCCCTCATGCAGATCCGCGGGGTCAGGGTCCAAAAACACAGGAGATTTGCTACATTTCTGAAATTCGGTGCCACCCCTCACGCAGATCCGCGGGGTCAGGGTCCAAAAACACAGGAGATTTGCCACATTTCTGAAATTCGGTGCCACCCCTCACGCAGATCCGCGGGGTCAGGGTCCAAAAACACAGGGGATTTGCCACATTTCTGAAATTCGGTGCCACCCCTCACGCAGATCCGCGGGGTCAGGGTCCAAAAACACATGGGATTTGCCACATTTCTGAAATTCGGTGCCACCCCTCACGCAGATCCGCGGGGTCAGGGTCCAAAAACACAGGGATTTGCCACATTTCTGAAATTCGGTGCCACCCCTCACGCAGATCCGCGGGGTCAGGGTCCAAAAACACAGGGATTTGCCACATTTCTGAAATTCGGTGCCACCCCTCACGCAGATCCGCGGGGTCAGGGTCCAAAAACACATGGGATTTGCCACATTTCTGAAATTCGGTGCCACCCCTTACGCAGATCCGCGGGGTCAGGGTCCAAAAACACAGGGGATTTGCCACATTTCTGAAATTCGAACCCATCACGCACATCCATCGCAAGGCGTGGTAACCCAAACTGCGAGAACTCCCTCGGCCCTTTAATCGCAAGGTGTGGTAACCAAGCCCTTAAACCATACACGTCTTACCAATCGCCAGGTGTGGTAACCCCTCTTGTGATCAGTTGGTTTTGCTGATTGCTGATTGCGACTGCTTCACGACAGCGCCAAGGCCTCATGACTTAGCTCTTCCATGGCCCATTCTCCGAGAGAGGGGGCCGGCGGCAGGGGGCGAAGCCCTTACGGATAAAATCGGGTAAGGATGAGTCGGGAATCTCTGGGATCCGGCGGCTCTGCAAGATATTTCTGGCGCACCGGCCTTCGCAGAGCGTTAGAGCGTTCCGGAATGCTCTGGCCCTTGGAGGCTTCAGAGGAACACAAAACGGCATAAACATAAACTTTCTGAGTTCCGAACGGATTTCTTGGATCTGCGCTGGACCCCCCTCCCAGGCGCGCGGAGCGCGCCAGGGGCGGCGCCTGAGGCGAACCAGGGGGCTCCAGCGCCGATCCAAGAAATCCGCGCGGAGCACCGTTTATGCCGTTTTTATTATCCGAGGCTTGGATCGGGCTGGGTGAGCCTTCATGGGATCCTCTGTGGACCCCTATGCTCCGCGGCCCTATCATAAACATGTTATCGACAGGGTTTCGGCCAAAATTCCAACACCCTGTCGTCCAAATTTCGTCCTGATGTCAACCAAATCCGACGAAATCCAGACGAAATTCCACGACCGCAATGGATTATGGGACTCTCTGAAGCTCTCAAGGAGGATGAATGACCACACAAAAATTGGCACCAACACCAACACAGTGGTGCAGTCCATGGGGGAGAAGAAAAGTACTGATACCGCAGCTCCCCGGACCTCTCCTGGGGTACGTTCTGACCAGAATCTCGAGGCGAACCCAGCGGTGGCGACGAGCAGGTTCGTGTCGTGCCGACCTCGGCGGTGGTTCCTGGCACCGCGGGGACCGTTCAACCTTGATCGACCAGCCGTTTCCAAAACGTCAGATCTTTCAACATCGACCGATTCTGGGTCGCCAGTGGCGCAACGTTGAACGCCAGCGGCGGGGTCGCCGCTGGTCGGCACGACGCGAACCTACCGTAGCCCCCCCTAACCCACACCGCCGACGTCATGATTGGTTCATGACGTCGAACCCAGAAGTCTCGACCTATTCGCCGGGATCGCTTTTTCGTTCTGACTCGTTGTTTGACGGTCCTGACGCCCGCTAAAGGCCCCCAGAGACTGAAACTAGCGACCGCCGGGGCGACTGCCGATCGACACGATGCGAATCTTCCGTAGCGGTATCGGTACCTTGTCCTCCTCTGAGCCCAGGTCCCGCAGCGCTCGGCGGCTGCGCCAGGCGTTGCAACCCTGGCGGCGGCGCGCCGAACGCCGCCGGCGGGCCCTGCTCGGCGGACAGCAGCTTGCCACGGAGGCCGTGTCCATCCCTGTGCTCCTGCCGGCAGCCCAGATCCACGGAGATAACGATAGATGGGGGGGGTCGTCATGGGCCACGCTGCACTGCGTTTCGTAGTAAGCGTGGAGGGGGGGGGCCCCCGACGGGGGTCAACCTCGCCCCGTCGGCATGATGCGACGGAGGTTAGGGCGCCTTCGGCGCGCGGTGGTTGCCTTCAACGGGGGTCGATTTGGGGTTGTCGACAGGTCGGCGCCCCCCCACGCTTCTCAAGAAATGCGGAGTAGGGGGGATAGGCTGGGTTTCGGGCGTTCTCGTCGGACATCGGCGGTTTTCCAGCCTTGGGGTGCTCTCCAGCGGCTGCGCCTCGCCGAGAGTGTTCTGGGGGTGCTGACACTGTCCCGAACAACTGTCAGAGAGCCGAATTGTGGCCTGGACAGCCGCCAGCCCGCCTACACCTCCGCCGCCCTGAGACCCGCCATCGTGGCGCAGGCACCGAGCAGAGGGTCCCTTGGACCTTCAGAAGTCGCAGTATTTACCAAGGCGGTGCTTGCACCAAGGACTACTTCGTTGGAAAGGATCTGGGCATAAATGTTGCGATTGCTCGCTCTTGCCCTCGTGCCATGTGGGTGGCGATCTATGGCTGGTGCCCTATGATGCAGTTGATGCTTGCGGTGTTCGCATTATTGCCCTGATGCGTTATATATATATATATATATATATATATATATATGGGTGATGCACTGCGTAGAATGCACAGCGTGTGTCGGTAACCTACGGGGGTCCAGGCTGTCAACCAGTCAATCCACCGACCCTGTCGGCGTGTGTGAGGGGCTTGTCATGGCTTGTCCGTTCGACTCGTCGCCTCCGTCATTCGTTAGTCGCCGTCTCTGTCGTCTCCTTTCCCTGCGGCCTCCATATCCCTGGGGGCCGTCGCCGCTCCCCTCCTTTTCCTGGGCCCTCCTCCCCAAGCGCGCCAGCCAAAGCGAATTGAGCAACGTCGCAATTCAGTCGAAGGGAAGCCCCTTCCCTTTAAACCGTCCCCCGTCGGGGGAGGGGTTCCGAAAGGTGTCCCGGGGGGGTTAGGGGGGGGTCCTGGAGGGGGTCCTGGAGGGGGCCCCGGGGGAGATCCAAGGGGGGGTCGCCACCCAGATACGACTCCCCCTGGGGGGTCCTGGGTCCCCAAAAAGCCTAGGACGGGCCAAGAGTACCCGAAGAGGCCCCCAAGACGGTCCAAGAGGGCCCCGAATCGCCGAACGATCTGTCCAAGACGCCTCGACGACCTCCAGACGACCCATGAGGCCTGCAAGACGCCCCGAGAAGCCTCCAGCAGCACTCCCAAGAAGGCACGGCAAAATTCAATTTCCCTTGGGTGTTTGAAAGATTTTGGCGTTGTCGCCTCCTCCCCTTCCCGATGCTCCCAGGGGCCAAGAGGCCCTCAAGATCGCCCTAAGACGGCCCGAAGTCCTCCAAGAGGTTCCTAAAATGGCCCGACAAGGCCCCAAGACGGCCCGAGACACCTCCAAGGCAGGCCAAGAAACACCTGGGACGGCTTAAAGAGGGTGCCCAGATGGGGGACCCGAACGGACATCTCTAGCCCTCGCCCCCGAGAAGCTCACAGGAGACCCCAAGAGGCCTCCAAGACGCCCCCGAGAAGCCCCAAGGAAGCTCCTGGAGGCCCCCGAGAGGCTACCAAGAGGCCCCCGAAGAGTCTCCCAAAACGCCCCAAACCTGCCCACCAGAGACTCCCGAAAGCGCTCCGAAGAGACCCCGAAATCGCCTCGTCCTCCCACTGCTCATTCCATCCCGTCCTGCCCCTGCCCCTGCTCCCCCCCTCCTCCTCCTCCTCCTCCTCCTCCTCCCCCTCCTCCTCCTCAGCGCGATCGGCGCCAAGATCATCCAGCCTCCGCTCACGGTCATTGCGGCAGATTGGAACAACTCACCTGCCGCCGTCGAGGCCACGGGGTTTGTGCAGAAGGTCAAGGCCGTCATCATGGCGCCTGCTGCAATCACCTGCCGTACCAGTTCGTCTACGTCCACGATTGACTTCTTCGTTGTAGGGCATGCTCTGTCTACCCTGACTGCCAGCATCTCTGTGGACAGTGCGTGGCATGTTAGACCGCACCGTCCTGTTTTGCTTGAACTGCGTGCTAATGCACTTCAGGTCCGTCAGTTGGTCTTTCGGCGTCACAGTCGAATCCCCACCCACCTCCCGATCGGCTGTCCTCGTCCCCCTCCCCCGTGGGCGTTGTCAGAGCGCCTCCTGCCCAAGCTGCAGTTTTTGTCTGAGCATGGCTCCTCTCAGGAGGCCTGGGCTCTCATGAATGAAGTGTGGTCTCTCTTTGCCAATGCTGCCGAGCAGGAGCTACTTGACGTTTGCGATCTCCCCACCACCCGTGCGGGGTGGCGAGGAGCTCGCGTGCAGTCAGTCTGGGAGCCTATCGTCCATCGCCGACAGGAGCCCGATGATGGCACGCTGGTGGCTAACTGTTGGCAATGGATGTGCGGTATGCTCAGTGAGTTTTTGTCTCTCACGCGTCGTGATGATGTTGATTGGGTCTCGGGTGAAGGCGCTCACCATCTCCTGGCGGTGCGAGTCCCGCACGCGGGGGAGGGCTTGTGCGCCCGCCTGGACCGCTCGCTGGCGTCAGTACGCCTCCTGCTCACTCAATGGTCTCCGCATTTGCCTGGGGACAGCGAGTGGTGGGATACTGCTGCTGCGCTCGCGGAGGAGCTCGCCACGGAATGTGATGAAGTCCAGGCGGAGCACTCCAAAGCCAGAGACCGCTCCTGGAAGGAGTGGCACATCTTGGCGCTCAGCGGCTCGGCCAGGCGCATGCATCGCCTGACCCGCATCAAGAAGCTGTGGGAGCCCACGGTCTCCTCCTCGGTCCCTGGGTCGTTTACGTCTGAGCCGTGTCAGTTAGTACAGGAGGAGACCGTGAAGCTCGGAGGTTTTTGGCATGCGGAGGTGGAGCCTCCTGAGGCGTGGATTCCCGATCGTGAGGCTCTGGACGCTCTCACGTGTGTGCAGTTGCGTGCGGCGGCTCGGACCTTCTCGGAATCCACGGCCCAAAGCCTAGACGGCTTTCACCCACGGCATGTCGAGATGCTCAGCGACACAGCGCTCGTGCAGCTCAGTATTATTTTCACGTGCTCGGAGCGCCTCGGCCTGTTTCCTGCCCAGCTCCTCTGGCTCCTCTTTCCACTGCTTGAGAAGCCGCAAGGCGGCTACCGCCCAATTTTGCTCGTCGCGTCCTTTGTGCGAGTGTGGGAAAAGGCACGCCGCCCTCTTGTGGAGCCCTTCCTGGAATCGTCCTCCCGCAAGTACTGGTCCTTTGGAAAAGGCAGGGGAGCTGAGGAGGCAGTGTGGCTTGCGGCGGTCCGCGCTGAACGTGGCCAGGCTGTCGACCAAGAGACGGCGGGGTTTCTGTGGGATGGCCTCAAGTTCTATGAGTCGTTTAACTTGGAGCTCCTGCGTGATCGTGCGCTGGCGTGTGGGCTCCCGCGGCCCCTAGTCAAGGTCCTGTTCAACTTCTGGAGGGGGCCCCGCCTGGTTCGACTGGGAGCCCATCACTGTCCTCTTGTGCAGTTTGCCCGCTCTGGGTTGCCAGCTGGCGACGTGTTCAATGACGCCTTCGTGCAGATCTACCTCCTCGGGGCCCTAGATGGTTTCGTGGCGCGGCACCCCCGCTTGGACCTCGGCGTGTACGTTGATGACGACTGCGTTTCCATGACGGGCCCCCGACAAGACCTCGTACCAGCCCTCGTGGAGGCAGCCCAGGACCTCGTCACCGTTTATAGGGAGGAGCTCCAGGTTGGCCTCGCCCACGACAAGGCGGTGGTCTTTGGGTCTTCCAATGATGTCGTTCGTGACCTCGATCGACGGCTTGCTCGTATCGGTTCTCGCTCAGCGGCTGCTACGACCTCTGCCACTGCGCTCGGTGCTGACTTTGCTCCTGCTCGACCTCGTGCTGCGCCTGGCGCTACGTGTCGGATGAAGAAACGGTTTCGAGCTATGAAGAGACGTGTTGGCTTCCTGCGTTCGCTACGACGACGGCTCTCTGTGGGCAAGGCCAGACTTCACAAGATATATATATCTGGAGTGCGCCCTGCGACTACGTACGGTTCCCTCGTCACTGGCATGACGGAGAGAGAGTTGTTGGTTTTACGACGTGCCCTCGTCCCGTTCCGAGGAGGCTCGCTACCCGCTCGTATGCTCCTGTATGATGACCCAGCGTGGAAGGTAGCAGTGGCGCCCGTCATTCAATATTCCAAGGCAGTATGGAACTCAATTGTGCATCCTGATCGTGTTGTGCTCTCGTGGAGGTTCTTGCAGAAGACGTGGGATGCTGTAGCCGTGAAGTATCCAGTCTTGCAGCAGTCGCAGTGGAATAAGAGTGCTGGCCCCATTCACCGTGCCATGTTGTGTTTGCATCGCCTAGGATGGAAGTTCACCAACTTTAAGACCTTCTTCGATGACAACCAGATAGAGCATGATTTGTTTTTCACCTCTCCTGCCTTGCTTGCCAAGCAGTTGCATGCTAGTATTCTTCGCCATCATGGCCGTAGCTTTGCTGCCACTCTAACGCAGGGGCAGGGGCAGGAGGTTGCCGCAGATTTGATTGTCCAAGCTGTCCGTTCTAAGAAATTCTCGGCGCTGCAAAAGCATGTTGTAGCCTCTGTCTTTGCTGGGGGCATGTGGACCGAGGACCGCCTTGTGCAGCATGGCTTTGAATCAACAGGTCTATGCCCCTTGTGCTCCCAGCCAGATTCAATTCATCATCGTCTCTGGTGCTGCCCTGCTGTTGCCGCCGCTAGGGAAGAGGCGACGTCGGCAGAGATTGCAGCTGATGCGCGCGAGGAGCCCGAAGATCTCCTGTGGTCCAGGCTCCTGGTGTTCCAACCTCGCCCCGACGAGTTCCCTCCTCCCTCCTCTGAGTTGTTCCCTGTCTTCCAGGATGCCCAGGGCAACCCTGTGTCCCAGGAGACCTTCCAGGAGCTCAGCGCGGGATGTGATGTTTGTGTTGACGGCAGTGCAA